TTATAGACGTCTCCTTGAACCCTCCCGGAGAACGCCGAAACGCAATACTACGACTCGCATTCGAAAATGCTGTCTCTAGCAATTTGATCCCAGAGCAATTGCTCTTTTTTACGGGAGGCTAGGTTGGGGGTAGGGGCTTGACGGCCCTTTGAGTATTGCGCCTAGCGAAAAAAAGTTGATCAAATCTGAGAATTGATATTTTTTATCAAATAGAATGGCAAGTGATTCGTAATGAAAATGATTTCAAAGCTTTAGAATTTTGCGAAAACTCAATTTCAATTTTGTACCGACTTGAATTGTCTGGAAAATCAGGCCATTTTTAGCAAAGTTGGTTTTGATTAATTGGAAATCCTTTTCAAGTTCATTTATAGTCTAAGCTGTTTTGAAGTTTGAGTTTCATTTTAAAGGCCAAGTGATTAGCAAGGTCATTTATGTTCGAAATTTGTGCAGCAAAATTTTTGCCGTTTCTTTGATTTTAACCGACGCTTTGTTTTTGCTTTGATCGATTAACCGCTTTATTTTCAATTCTCAGGTTCTTTGTTATTTTATTATGGTATCTTATGTCGTGGGCGATTTTAGAACGAGGTATCTTTTGGAATGGTATCTTATTGACTGGGATCTTCTCGTTTGGGATCTTAAGGTAAGGGATCTTTTGTCATGTAACCTTCCCTGATTTTGAGGGGGAATGGAAGTTTTCAGTGTTTAACCCTGATACGAACAGCTTTAATCAATTTGGCTGTTGCTCGAAGACAATTTTTAATGAGGTTTAAGAGTTTGTCCAAGAGTACATATTTGTTCCGACCTTTGAGATTGGGGTGAACTTTGTCTTCTGGTGTGTTTTAGTTTTTGTCTAAATGGTTCCCACACAAAATCAAAATTAAAATTAAAAATCAGAATGTTTCGAGTGATATTTTATCCTCAAATTTTTTTCAGCCATGATTCCAAAAACTTTTTTTAGCTAAAAGAGAATCCTAAGAAAATTGATTGCGCTGTGTATAAATGTTTCAGCAAAACATGACAAATAGTTCTTCCGTTTAAATAAGATAGTTCGGTTTTTAAACATGTTTATTCAATTCAAAAATGAAAAATCAAATATTTCAAGATTGAAAAGATAATTTATGATGAATAATAAAATTTGATTGTTTCTAATTGAATTTGATAGACATTTTACTTGACTGAAAAATCATCAATTTCAACGGTTTTTCACAGCCTTAGTGTTCCCATCAATTTTACCGTGAGTATTGTCTGACTGATATGAGAACATTTATTAGAATAGCACAATAAACAAAAAGGCTTTTGTTATTTTTACCAGTAATTGTTTTTTATCTAATAAGTAGAAAAAAACACTATCGAATGAACGTTTTCAGATTAAATTGATGACCTGATTCAAATGCTCAGATGCGAGTCATACAATGATTCATTACTATGATCAAAAAACTTATCAATTCAATTGCCCGGATTGACAAAGCATGCCTATTATACAATTTCATAACATGGAAAAATGTTTATCAAACTTTTTCATACTATTTCATAGACCAAAAAAGGAATTTAAAAATGACAAGCTGTTTTTTCATACTATTATAAAAGCATTTTTTGCTTTATTTGGGAATTAAATAACAAGCTTTCAACACAAAGAAGTTAAGAAAATAGCAAATGCATTTTTTGTACTATAAAATTAAATAATAAGCATTTTTCAATAATATGAAATTGTATGATAAGCACTCCATAGAAAAGAATACAAAAAAAACTTTTTGTTCTGAAATTTTGTGCTTCTGAAATCCGAAACAACTGAATTACGGGAGGCTAGGTTGGGGGTAGGGGCTTGACGGCCCTTTGAGTATTGCGCCTAGCGAAAAAAAGTTGATCAAATCTGAGAATTGATATTTTTTATCAAATAGAATGGCAAGTGATTCGTAATGAAAATGATTTCAAAGCTTTAGAATTTTGCGAAAACTCAATTTCAATTTTGTACCGACTTGAATTGTCTGGAAAATCAGGCCATTTTTAGCAAAGTTGGTTTTGATTAATTGGAAATCCTTTTCAAGTTCATTTATAGTCTAAGCTGTTTTGAAGTTTGAGTTTCATTTTAAAGGCCAAGTGATTAGCAAGGTCATTTATGTTCGAAATTTGTGCAGCAAAATTTTTGCCGTTTCTTTGATTTTAACCGACGCTTTGTTTTTGCTTTGATCGATTAACCGCTTTATTTTCAATTCTCAGGTTCTTTGTTATTTTATTATGGTATCTTATGTCGTGGGCGATTTTAGAACGAGGTATCTTTTGGAATGGTATCTTATTGACTGGGATCTTCTCGTTTGGGATCTTAAGGTAAGGGATCTTTTGTCATGTAACCTTCCCTGATTTTGAGGGGGAATGGAAGTTTTCAGTGTTTAACCCTGATACGAACAGCTTTAATCAATTTGGCTGTTGCTCGAAGACAATTTTTAATGAGGTTTAAGAGTTTGTCCAAGAGTACATATTTGTTCCGACCTTTGAGATTGGGGTGAACTTTGTCTTCTGGTGTGTTTTAGTTTTTGTCTAAATGGTTCCCACACAAAATCAAAACTAAAATTAAAAATCAGAATGTTTCGAGTGATATTTTATCCTCAAATTTTTTTCAGCCATGATTCCAAAAACTTTTTTTAGCTAAAAGAGAATCCTAAGAAAATTGATTGCGCTGTGTATAAATGTTTCAGCAAAACATGACAAATAGTTCTTCCGTTTAAATAAGATAGTTCGGTTTTTAAACATGTTTATTCAATTCAAAAATGAAAAATCAAATATTTCAAGATTGAAAAGATAATTTATGATGAATAATAAAATTTGATTGTTTCTAATTGAATTTGATAGACATTTTACTTGACTGAAAAATCATCAATTTCAACGGTTTTTCACAGCCTTAGTGTTCCCATCAATTTTACCGTGAGTATTGTCTGACTGATATGAGAACATTTATTAGAATAGCACAATAAACAAAAAGGCTTTTGTTATTTTTACCACTAATTGTTTTTTATCTAATAAGTAGAAAAAAACACTATCGAATGAACGTTTTCAGATTAAATTGATGACCTGATTCAAATGCTCAGATGCGAGTCATACAATGATTCATTACTATGATCAAAAAACTTATCAATTCAATTGCCCGGATTGACAAAGCATGCCTATTATACAATTTCATAACATGGAAAAAATGTTTATCAAACTTTTTCATACTATTTCATAGACCAAAAAAGGAATTAAAAAATGACAAGCTGTTTTTTCATACTATTATAAAAGCATTTTTTGCTTTATTTGGGAATTAAATAACAAGCTTTCAACACAAAGAAGTTAAGAAAATAGCAAATGCATTTTTTGTACTATAAAACTAAATAATAAGCATTTTTCAATAATATGAAATTGTATGATAAGCACTCCATAGAAAAGAATACAAAAAAAGTTTTTTGTTCTGAAATTTTGTGCTTCTGAAATCCGAAACAACTGAATCAAGGTTTTTCTGTAATAAGAAAACCAATAGTGTAATTGACAATTACCTCGCAGATAAACCGCATTTGGTGATCTTAGCCATGTAAGTTAATGGTAACCTTTCAGACAGAACTAAATACCGAAAACGTAAAATTATATACAAAAAAAAAACCATTAAATTGTGTTGGTTGAGAAAAAAGGCTTTTTTTTTGTTTCAGGACTTCATGTTTAACTTAGCATAGAAAAACAAAAAAAAAAACTTACTTGCTCGTAATTTTTTTTGAATTTTTGGGGGTGAACAATTCGACTATAGTTACCTCAAAACGTATGATTATTTTATTTTCAAGTCACGTCTAATCCATTTTAATCAACTATTATTGATTAATATAGACACAAAAGTCAAATTTTACACGTAATAGTTTTTTTACACGTAAACCATTTAAAATAGTTTTCAAAAAAATGTATTTTGATCATAAAAGTTGTATGATAAGCTTTTTTTGATGGATTCTATATATGAAATTGTTTGATAGGTATTTTCTTTATGGATGTCAATCTGGATATAAGGCAACTACAACTATACAACTAGTTTTTACCGCATATTATAAAACTATATGGGTAGTTTTTTAGCCAAAGTATAAAATGCTACGAATTTTTCTTTTGTATGCATTTGTAGGATTTGCTTTTTTTCCGCACCGTTATGGTGGAGTTTTATGGATAAAAATTGATTAAAATTGAGCTTTTTGTCAGTATAAAACAAAAATAATCAATTTTAATCATTTTGAAATGTGCTATACGGTTATCATTTTATAAAGCATTGGTTGCAATGCAATTTTTTTATTAGCTTTTTTCATTTTTAGAGATCTAGTTATTAGAAAAAATGTCGAGGTACTCATTAGTTGTTTCCACTATCACAATAAAGCCTCGACAGCCTCAAAAAAGAATAGTAGAGACAGGTTTTTGAGTCGTGCGCAAATCAAAATATGCATCGAGCATGGTAAAAACATCAAAATTTGGTCTATCACAATCGTCCCGTGGTAAGACAAGCCAATTTATGAAATTTTAAGGCAAATTTTAATCTTTTTTAAATCTTTTTTTTGGAAAAAAACAGGGTATTCATAAGTTAAAAAAACTAATTTTAAGAAGTAGTACTATTATTAAAAACTGTCCCCACACCGAAAGTCCATGAATCATAATCAATTTTATTGTCAATTGATACTCAGAATCAATAAATTTTGAGTATCAAAAACTCGGAACCATTATCAAAATGCTGTGTGTGGTCTAGCCCGAACCACAAATGCAGTTGAAGGGTGGCATCCAGGTGTAACCGCTTTGTTTCAAGGCAGCCATCCTTCAATACATACGTTTCTCGAAAAAATTCAACTGGATTCCTACAATCAAAAGTTCAACATTTTGAAGGCATCCAGCGGCATTATCAACTTATCCCGGAAGAAGTACCGTGATCTGAATGAAAAAGTTCAACAGATAACAAGTTCATACACAGACTCTAACTTATTGTCTTATATCCGTTCACTTGCCCATTTAACTTATTAAATTTTGTTATAGTTTTTGCCTAATTTTTCCTAAATTTAAAATTGTTTGATCAACTTTTTTATAGACGTCTCCTTGCACCCTCCCGGAGAACGCCGAAACGCAATACTACGACTCGCATTCGAAAATGCTGTCTCTAGCAATTTGATCCCAGAGCAATTGCTCTTATTTACGGGAGGCTAGGTTAGGGGTAGGGGCTTGACGGCCCTTTGAGTATTGCGCCTAGCGAAAAAAAGTTGATCAAATCTGAGAATTGATATTTTTTATCAAATAGAATGGCAAGTGATTCGTAATGAAAATGATTTCAAAGCTTTAGAATTTTGCGAAAACTCAATTTCAATTTTGTACCGACATGAATTGTCTGGAAAATCAGGCCATTTTTAGCAAAGTTGGTTTTGATTAATTGGAAATCCTTTTCAAGTTCATTTATAGTCTAAGCTGTTTTGAAGTTTGAGTTTCATTTTAAAGGCCAAGTGATTAGCAAGGTCATTTATGTTCGAAATTTGTGCAGCAAAATTTTTGCCGTTTCTTTGATTTTAACCGACGCTTTGTTTTTGCTTTGATCGATTAACCGCTTTATTTTCAATTCTCAGGTTCTTTGTTATTTTATTATGGTATCTTATGTCGTGGGCGATTTTAGAACGAGGTATCTTTTGGAATGGTATCTTATTGACTGGGATCTTCTCGTTTGGGATCTTAAGGTAAGGGATCTTTTGTCATGTAACCTTCCCTGATTTTGAGGGGGAATGGAAGTTTTCAGTGTTTAACCCTGATACGAACAGCTTTAATCAATTTGGCTGTTGCTCGAAGACAATTTTTAATGAGGTTTAAGAGTTTGTCCAAGAGTACATATTTGTTCCGACCTTTGAGATTGGGGTGAACTTTGTCTTCTGGTGTGTTTTAGTTTTTGTCTAAATGGTTCCCACACAAAATCAAAATTAAAAGTAAAAATCAGAATGTTTCGAGTGATATTTTATCCTCAAATTTTTTTCAGCCATGATTCCAAAAACTTTTTTTAGCTAAAAGAGAATCCTAAGAAAATTGATTGCGCTGTGTATAAATTTTGATTTTGGTATTTTGTTTCAGCAAAACATGACAAATAGTTCTTCCGTTTAAATAAGATAGTTCGGTTTTTAAACATGTTTATTCAATTCAAAAATGAAAAATCAAATATTTCAAGATTGAAAAGATAATTTATGATGAATAATAAAATTTGATTGTTTCTAATTGAATTTGATAGACATTTTACTTGACTGAAAAATCATCAATTTCAACGGTTTTTCACAGCCTTAGTGTTCCCATCATTTTTATCGTGAGTATTGTCTGACTGATATGAGAACATTTATTAGAATAGCACAATAAACAAAAAGGTTTTTGTTATTTTTACCACTAATTGTTTTTTATCTAATAAGTAGAAAAAAACACTATCGAATGAACGTTTTCAGATTAAATTGATGACCTGATTCAAATGCTCAGATGCGAGTCATACAATGATTCATTTCTATGATCAAAAAACTTATCAATTCAATTGCCCGGATTGACAAAGCATGCCTATTATACAATTTCATAACATGGAAAAAATGTTTATCAAACTTTTTCATACTATTTCATAGACCAAAAAAGGAATTAAAAAATGACAAGCTGTTTTTTCATACTATTATAAAAGCATTTTTTGCTTTATTTGGGAATTAAATAACAAGCTTTCAACACAAAGAAGTTAAGAAAATAGCAAATGCATTTTTTGTACTATAAAACTAAATAATAAGCATTTTTCAATAATATGAAATTTTATGATAAGCACTCCATAGAAAAGAATACAAAAAAAACTTTTTGTTCTGAAATTTTGTGCTTCTGAAATCCGAAACAACTGAATCAAGGTTTTTCTGTAATAAGAAAACCAATAGTGTAATTGACAATTACCTCGCAGATAAACCGCATTTGGTGATCTTAGCCATGTAAGTTAATGGTAACCTTTCAGACAGAACTAAATACCGATAACGTAAAATTATATACAAAAAAAAACCATTAAATTGTGTTGGTTGAGAAAAAAGGTTTTTTTTTGTTTCAGGACTTCATGTTTAACTTAGCATAGAAAAACAAAAAAAAAACTTACTTGCTCGTGATTTTTTTTGAATTTTTGGGGGTGAACAATTCGACTATAGTTACCTCAAAACGTATGATTATTTTATTTTCAAGTCACGTCTAATCCATTTTAATCAACTATTATTGATTAATATAGACACAAAAGTCAAATTTTACACGTAATAGTTTTTTCTTAAACTGTATATGCGGCTGCAGAAGCAAATTTGCTTTCACGCAATCAAAACTGCCATTAATTTGTTTTGTTAGAGTTTTAAACCATTTAAAATAGTTTTCAAAAAAATGTATTTTGATCATAAAAGTTGGATGATAAGCTTTTTTTCATGGATTCTATATATGAAATTGTTTGATAGGTATTTTCTTTATGGATGTCAACCTGGATATAAGGCAACTACAACTATACAACTAGTTTTTCCCGCATATTATAAAACTAAATGGGTAGTTTTTTAGCCAAAGTATAAAATGCTACGAATTTTTCTTTTGTATGCATTTGTAGGATTTGCTTTTTTTTCCGCACCGTTATGGTGGAGTTTTATGGATAAAAATTGATTAAAATTGAGCTTTTTGTCAGTATAAAACAAAAATAATCAATTATAATCATTTTGAAATGTGCTATACGGTTATCATTTTATAAAGCATTGGTTGCAATGCAATTTTTTTATTAGCTTTTTTCATTTTTAGAGATCTAGTTATTAGAAAAAATGTCGAGGTACTCATTAGTTGTTTCCACTATCACAGTAAAGCCTCGACAGCCTCAAAAAAGAATAGTAGAGACAGGTTTTTGAGTCGTGCGCAAATCAAAATATGCATCGAGCATGGTAAAAACATCAAAATTTGGTCTATCACAATCGTCCCGTGGTAAGACAAGCCAATTTATGAAGTTTTAAGGCAAATTTTAATCTTTTTTAAATCTTTTTTTTGGAAAAAAACAGGGTATTCATAAGTTAAAAAAACTAATTTTAAGAAGTAGTACTATTATTAAAAACTGTCCCCACACCGAAAGTCCATGAATCATAATCAATTTTATTGTCAATTGATACTCAGAATCAATAATTTTTCAAAAAAAAATGACTATAGTCACTTCAAAACGTATGATTATTTTATTTTTAAGTCAATTCTATTCCATTTAAATCAACCATTTTGATTAATATGGACTTTTGTTCAGAAGTTTTTGATGAAACATAAAAAATTGTTTAAAAATTATCTCGTTTGCTGTTTAATTCAGTTACTATTTTTAGGTTTCATAGTTTTTCACGTTTCATTTTAGTTTTTTCTATTTTCAGGGGTGGGTCTAAGATTTTCTCGAGGGTGGCGGATTTTCAAAATTTTTTCAAGAATATACACGAACATTTGTTTTAGGTCGACCAAAATTGGTTTTGAGCACTACTAGAACACAATAAAGCCCCTATGATGGCCAAACTTCTATTCCGGAGGCAAAATTCAAAAAAAAAATAGTCCAAAAAGGCGTTTTTAAGCCTTTTTTGGAAGTTTTTGACCCACAAATAGCACTTTTCGGCCCGCGCGCCCATTCACAATTAGTGTTTTTTGGTGCCGAAGGTGCCTTTAGAAAAATTTTGGAGTTATTTAGCCTAAAGTGGACGTCATAAAATAATACCAAAGGGGGGACCCTTTGTTTGGGAGGGGGTCAGTTCCCTGAGAGGGGTGTCCGTCCCCCCTAAATAAATCCGCACCTGCTTTTAACCAGGGGCGGATTTAGGGAGGGGGTACTCAACCTCCTTCGGAAGGGGATTCAACCCCCTTCCGACCCAGACCCCCCCTCGAGAAAACCAGAGATCCGCGCCTGCTTTTAATACACATAAAAACGGTGGAGATTCAGTTTTTTTGCGCCATTTATAGAATTTTTATATCTAATCAGGAAAAGTACGAGTAACTGTTCAAAAAATATCAAAAAACAACTTGATGAAACAATCTTAGCACTCAACAAAAATAAAGAAACTTTTTTGAAGGAATTACAGCTTCAAATTACCTCATTTGAAAAACTCTTGTTCATGTTTTGGAGTTATCTTAAATCACAATGTTTCGAACTCCAATTTTTCGTTTGGCAGGAAGTTGATAAAACTCTGCGCTACCTGTACCTGCAGTTTGAATCTGTCACGAGATCTCAGTCAAATTGAAGATCTTAAGAAACATGGTACAAAATCATGTCTCGACCTAGTCTCGACACGTTGTTAAGAAAGTTTTCACAATACTAATAAGAAAAACGGGCTCTTTTCCAGTTACCCTTTCAAAATACAGAGTTTTTAAATGTTATTACGGCTAAACGCGTGATTTTACGCTGTAAAGTATGAAGAACAAATCTGCTCAGAATTGTTGATTTGTTCACCACGCCAAATTTCATTGCATTATGACAACGTTAAATAGACTTTTCAAAATTGAATTTGAAAGGGAGGGAACTGGAAAAGAGTCGAAAAACGTAGAAAAAGTGATAATAAATCATAAAAATTGCAATGAATGTTTTCGTTATGAGTTTTGTTAGGATGGGTATTGTTAGACGAGTAAGTTAGGAATTTTTCAGTGGATGGCAGTTTATCTTTTTAATTCATTTAGTTTAACTCAATCATTATTCGACTAAAATCCCCTCCTCACGTTCAATTCACGTCCAAAAATTCAAAAATGCCCGAATTGGGTCAAAAGGCGAGACGGTCGAAATAAAAGCAAAACTGGTCAAGACGGTCCAAGACGGAAACATAGAGTGAACTCCTTGTGGCGGGTAATTATGTCAAATTAAAAAATCGAAAACTTGGTACAAAAGAACACTCGCTGATCCAATTTTCTATGCATTGCACGTAAGCAGCATGAAACACGTGCTTCCCTTTTTTTTATAAACGAGCTTGGTTGACCGGATGTCTTTTGCTGATGCTTAGATGCTTTTATTGGAATGCGCTCTGTCTGTTTTGAATAAAAGCGCATCGTTCAAAGTAAAAGTTCAGAGAAAAATTAGCGGGCATTCCTAGTTAATATTTCAGCCATCGAGCGAAAGTTGATGAAGTAAATTCTTTTTAAGTCTCTATTTGTGAGTTCGTTAGTAAAGGTCCCTCCACAGAAAAACTCCCTATGGGAGGTTGTTTTGTTGTTATTTTATGACGACGAATTAAATTATTCGAAACTGAGGGTGAGAGAAAAAGAAGGACCCTCTGAATTCGAAAAACTGATCTGCAATTTCAAGAAAAAATGTACATTTAAAGCAGCATCAATATTATTAAAATTGCGTTTTGTTTTGTATTTTGCATATATATTGAAAAAATAAGTTTTTTTATTACCAGACAGGATGAAGGGTTTTCATGGTAATATGTGTTGTGTTAGCATTTTACTAACGGTTATTGCTAAATAAGAAAACTCATTTTTACAATTTTTCATGGAAGTTTTCTTGCTTATATAACAACTTTACCAATTTTAAGGTCATCATTCTTCGAGATAATCAAAAAGTGGAGAAACTAAAAAAAATCTAAGTATCATAAGTTAAAGGCAATTATTGTAGGGTTTTATCTATGATCGATTTTCGGCTAAGCAAAACACCGTCATAGGTTGAAAGGCACGTAAAAAATAAGCGCCAGTTCTTTGTTTTTATACTATTTGGGTTCCATAATGGTTTATTTTTTAGTCTAGATAATGATAACTTTATCCCATCTATATTTCACTACCCTTTCTGATATTGAATGCTTCCTGCATAATACTCCCCGTTATTTTTCATTTCTGTTATCATAGTTTTCAACGAGTTTCCAAATAAAAAAAAGTTGGCATCGATTGGGGTTTGAAATGGATTATCGCGGTTTGGACACGCATTGCAATTCGGAAAAGTCAGTTTTTTTCAAGCATATATTTTTACTGTACGGTGCTAATTCAACGATGATTGTTCGTTGACCCACCTATGAAACATGATAGCTGCAATCTTTAGTGATAAACCATTGATGAATCATGACTGAAATCTTTTTGTCAACTCAATATTTTTTAATGAATTATGACTAAAACATAGATGAAAGTCATACTTTTTCGTATACTGTTTTTCAAGCAAATTTAATAACTGAACTTTTATTGTATTTTTTGGTGCATTTTTTTCGCGTGAAGAAGTCTTTTTTTTTCTAGAAAAGTTTAGAGAAGCATAATTTTCAGTATTACGGATCCTTATACAATTTTCACTGAGGGGGCTGACGCATTCAGATAGAAAAAAACTTGGATGAACAATGTGAACCTATTCCTAACTGAAATAAAATTCTTAGCCATAGCAAAACTTATCTTAGCATTTTTAGCATTAAGTTTAACTTTCAATGAATAAAAATTTTTAATTTTGAGTTTTTATTTGATTTTTTTTCACTATCAATATTAGTTCGAAATATTATCCACAATCTGTTTCAAGCGCTTATAATCTAACAAATTATGATCTTTCATAATCATTTAATAATCGATTATATCCTCTCTCTTTGAAAACGAATCGTAATCAATTAAACTATATTTTAATCCACTATAATCGGTTATTACATTTTGTTATTCGATACAATTATGATTGATTCTTTTATCCCAACTTCTATTTTATTTGTCAAGCACATAAAATCCTTTCTAATCAATTATAGTCCCATTTTGCACGTCTTTGACTTTGTTTTTGAATTGTGTATGTTTTGTACTTTTCAAAGACGTTGATTTGCATATATATTGAAAAAATAAGTTTTTTTATTACCAGACAGGATGAAGGGTTTTCATGGTAATATGTGTTGTGTTGGCATTTTACTAACGGTTATTGCTAAATAAGAAAACTCATTTTTACAATTTTTCATGGAAGTTTTCTTGCTTATATAACAACTTTACCAATTTTAAGGTCATCATTCTTCGAGATAATCAAAAAGTGGAGAAACTAAAAAAAATCTAAGTATCATAAGTTAAAGGCAATTATTGTAGGGTTTTATCTATGATCGACTTTCGGCTAAGCAAAACACCGTCATAGGTTGAAAGGCACGTAAAAAATAAGCGCCAGTTCTTTGTTTTTATACTATTTGGGTTCCATAATGGTTTATTTTTTAGTCTAGATAATGATAACTTTATCCCATCTATATTTCACTACCCTTTCTGATATTGAATGCTTCCTGCATAATACTCCCCGTTATTTTTCATTTCTGTTATCATAGTTTTCAACGAGTTTCCAAATAAAAAAAAGTTGGCATCGATTGGGGTTTGAAATGGATTATCGCGGTTTGGACACGCATTGCAATTCGGAAAAGTCAGTTTTTTTCAAGCATATATTTTTACTGTACGGTGCTAATTCAACGATGATTGTTCGTTGACCCACCTATGAAACATGATAGCTGCAATCTTTAGTGATAAACCATTGATGAATCATGACTGAAATCTTTTTGTCAACTCAATATATTTTAATGAATTATGACTAAAACATAGATGAAAGTCATACTTTTTCGTATACTGTTTTTCAAGCAAATTTAATAACTGAACTTTTATTGTATTTTTTGGTGCATTTTTTTCGCGTGAAGAAGTCTTTTTTTTTCTAGAAAAGTTTAGAGAAGCATAATTTTCAGTATTACGGATCCTTATACAATTTTCACTGAGGGGGCTGACGCATTCAGATAGAAAAAAACTTGGATGAACAATGTGAACCTATTCCTAACTGAAATAAAATTCTTAGCCATAGCAAAACTTATCTTAGCATTTTTAGCATTAAGTTTAACTTTCAATGAATAAAAATTTTTAATTTTGAGTTTTTATTTGATTTTTTTTCACTATCAATATTAGTTCGAAATATTATCCACAATCTGTTTCAAGCGCTTATAATCTAACAAATTATGATCTTTCATAATCATTTAATAATCGATTATATCCTCTCTCTTTGAAAACGAATCATAATCAATTAAACTATATTTTAATCCACTATAATCGGTTATTACATTTTGTTATTCGATACAATTATGATTGATTCTTTTATCCCAACTTCTATTTTATTTGTCAAGCACATAAAATCCTTTCTAATCAATTATAGTCCCATTTTGCACGTCTTTGACTTTGTTTTTGAATTGTGTATGTTTTGTACTTTTCAAAGACGTTGATTTGTTGATATATGTGAAAAAAGGGGAAATTGATTTAGCAGATTCTAAGTCAACTCATATTTATAACGTTTTTATTTTTTGACTTCTTCTTGCTCAGAGTTGTTCTATGATGCGAATTTTTAGTTTTTGTAACCACCAAAATATTCGCACACTGTTTTAGTTTCGTGATTTATGAAGCATCGATGACATATCGCAGAAAAATCAATGGATTTTTTCTGATTTCATCGCTGATAGAAGTTATACTTCATAAGGCTGAATCATTAATGTTTCAACAATGAAACGTCAATGCTTTGAAATTTATCAATAACTGAAACAAAACTAACATAAGTTTTTCGGTCTGAAATATACCTTTTTTACGAAATCATGGGAATAATAAGGGTCAGTTTTTGATTGCAAGGTATTTTTTAACTTGAGATTCAAAAAACTCTAACTATAATTCAAGGAACCGATGGTCCGCCTTAATAGTTTTTTTTCTTATTTTTTCGGACAAGCTAGAAAAACTTTTTCTAGCTTGCTTACTTTCGCATACCATTCCAACAGCAATTACTGTGAAACTATCAACTCTTTCAAAGATGCTCAATACAAAGTATTTTGAGTAAATTTTGGTGGTAAAAAGATACATTGGCAGATAATACCAGCTTTCAAAGTGTGATACTAATGATACTAGTGACTGTGAAATCAGACCTTTTTGATTCCATTGAAAATCTATTTGATTTTAGCAGTTATTTGCGAAACTTTGTGCACTTTTTTATAATCAATTGAATTTATTTTTTGCTGCAATTTTATACGTTTCGTATTACCAAGTTTCCTCATTCAACAATAAGTTTTGCTTAAAAATTTTGAAAATGGCCAAGCAGACTAATTACGTCTGCATTACGAGGCCGAACTGCGCATTCTGTTAATTGTAACCGAAATCCGGAATTTGTCAAAATCAGATTTGTCGCGGAATTTCTTTGATACTCGGACTTACTTTTTCTTTTAGTTGTACGCGGAATCCACTGAAATTTTGTTAATGGATTCTACTTAACTTTTGAAACATATTTAAAGACTTGTCTCTGGAATCAAGGAACATACAGAAACAAAATTGTGCGCCCATCCAGTGCACAGTCTGGCCTCGTAATGTGACTTCTGTTATATTTTCAATCGAACCTACTCGGCTCAAAAATTATATCTGATTATCCCCACTGTCCGTAGGTTGGCTGAGTGAGTTTAGCTGTATCTCAAATCTTCTGCCGCATTTGTTACGCGGTAGATAAAGTTGGATGTTTTTTGCGTTTTTTTTTGCCAAATGGTTCCGATTGCCAATTTTAAGCCCTACCAGTAAAAAAAATTACATATGAAACATCTCCTTAGTTTTTGGGCTCAGAGCATTGAAAGATTTAAAGGGAAAATAAAAGCTTTTGTCAAAAAGGTTTTACTTAAAAATCGAAACTGGTATAAAACATAAACCATCCCGAGCAAAGTGTTTGTTTTTGTCATTTTCTTCAGCAAAACAAATCATTATCAAGCAATTTGAATGTTTTTTTTTCAAATAAATTTAAATATACACAGAAAACTCCAAAATTTTATAAAAATTTTGATTGCATTATGTTACAATATCAAAAATGCTACAGAAGGAAAAATTTGAAAAACTCGATTTTTCAGATTTAAAAACTTTTAGCGTTATTTTCGCGATGAAAATTTGAGAAAAGCCGAAAGTAATTGTCCAGATTCGGAAAAAAATTATGAACCATTCGACCGGATCCTCAATTCGAATAAGTCCTTTAATTCTGTGGGCGTAAGCAAATGGCTTTCAAAACGCATTGTCTTACTCATTCCCAATAGTATTACGGCTTTTTTTATTATAGAAAAACGAAAAATGATAAAAAAACGCGCATTGCAAATAACCATGAATTAGAAAAACAAACGTTCGCGTTTTTTTTGACCTTCATTCGTAGACTGGGAGATAATTTAGATTTTTTTTGAAAATTTTTTCTCAAAAACTACGTCTATATATAAAATGTGTCCACAAAAAACCGAGCCAGAAAAATAACATGATTTCAAAATTTTTTCACCTTTTAAGCAAAAACGTATAAGACTGTATGAGAGCAATATCTGTTGATTTTGTTTGAATTATAAGATGCACATGTTCTCAATGGATTTCAACCCTATGTACTCGAGAAGCATAGCTTAAAAAATTTAACTTTTCAATAAAATTGAATAGGTTTGACTAAGGAACTTTGCGTTTAAGAGTGAACAATATTATTGCAAAATGTTTTTATCACCTATTGATGAATTTATAAGTTCCACTCAATTTTTTGCTTCCGGCAATACCTGTTATTGATTAAACCTCAAGAGTAGAAAAATTAATGCACCGTCATTTTATTCACCTATAAATTAAGGTTGTATTTTCCGCAACGGGTTTTCTCCGATTATTATCTATCACATACCGAACATTTGTTCAAGGCATAATAATAATCAACTAAACTAGTTTTTTATTGCTTGATTCTATAAAATTGAAAAGCAATCAATTATCGGGTAAAACAGATTATAATCGTTTTTTTTTGCTCAGAAACACAAATCCAATATAATCTATAACAATTGATTATAATGGATTTCTATCCGTTTTTTTCTAAAACTAGTCATTCATATTCAAAAAATGCGTCAATTTTAAAACTTAAACGTTGCTTTGGCAAAACAAACTTTGAATTAATTAGAGACCTATTATAAAAGTTATAACTCTTAGAATGATTACCCTAAAATTATTTCACCGCTCAACCGAATTGAATTATACATTCATTCTACATGCTTCGAGTACGCACACATTGAACGCAGTAAAAATGCAAACAAGACTGCTCGTATCAGGGCGAAGCCCTGAATGTTCCGACTGCCTTTTAAAGTTTATGGAGCAGTAGTAACATAAATATCATTAACAAACCAAATGTAAAAAAAAAGAAAAAAAAAACAAAAAAAAACTCTAAATCCATGAAAATCATCACCCCACACACCATATAAAGTACAAAAGAATAGATTTCACTCCTTGAAACAAATCATTTATGGCAAATAAGCTTCTTTCAACCTACTTGGAATGGTTTCTAAGACGGATTAAATCTCCGCTTACGCGTTAATAGCGCGAAATATAACGCGCGTTAATTGTCCCAAATTGGCCAAAATGGGAATCTTTAAACCTTCATAACTTTACGAAAGATGATCACAGGTGAAATAGCTTCTCAAATTTAAGCCTAGGACAACACTACTTTTGAATGATATAAAAATTCCGTCAAAAATGGCTAGTTAAAAATGGCTAGAAAAAAAACCACCCCGAGCACAAATATTCCGTTACTTTCGTATCGATAGTCGGAACAATAAGCACGTATTATATCCTAGTGGTCAACGCTATATCTAGCATGCGTGAAAGCGGTAGTTCAAAACCCATCAAGATAAATTTTTGGCTGGAAATAGTCTAAATTTAGTCAGTGTCTGATCAGAAATTCGATTGAAATTATTAAAATTTTGAGACAACGGGCCAGAAAATTAGAAATTAAAATGTTCTCGAAATAAAAAAATTGTTCTAAAAGGATCCCCTTTTGGTAGTATTTTAGGCCATTATTGATTAATCGGATCTCTTTACCTATTAAATTTTGCAAAATGGGAAAGATTTGTTAATAGAAACAAAATTCACGTTTACTTAACCCCTGGACTAATTTTAATGGGGTGACAAAGCGTTAATAGATGCGGTAGGCAAGGGAAGGGACGTAGTAAAAGAGATCCTTCTGTTCAACCAAACCTTTTCAAATAGTTTACTTTTTCGCTTTGATACAACCAATACAACCTCAAGCATGGTTATGATCGATGATCGCAAAGAAGTTTTCAGAAGACGATTAAAACACAAATTGAATCACAACGATCAAAAGATCAAGGTTAAGAGGTTGTTGCCAGTGTTGACTTCTATACAAAAAATTTTCTTTTTCTACAGTTTCGCGCGTAAAATTTTTGAAAGAAAAGCTAGCCATACGAAATCTATAAAAACTGTATAATTAGTTTTTTTTCAAAATGAGCTTTTTGTTCTACATAAATGAAAAAAAAAGATATTTCTCAGTTGATACGCAAGATGCAATGACATTCGAACAAAATTTACAGATTGCAAACTCCAGAAAAAAAAGTTACTTTTTTGTAAAAAAAA